TGACTCTCCAGAAATCTTTTTCATTTATATGCCATGCCTGCGCTCTTACAAGTCTTACGTAGGTTAACTCTCCAAAATTTCCCACCACGGTCGCCACCAACCACCCCCTCTATGGAGTTTTCATTGAAAAACATTTCTTGGTCCCCCCGACACACACCTCCTTTTCCTCATCTAGACTTTTCATGTCGATGTCCGCCTGCCACCCGTGGAGTGAACCTTCTTGGCCTGGGAAGAATGTCACCCAGTGAGGGCTGCTCAGAGTGTATAAAGTGATTAGGAGATTAGGAGAGTGTTGAAACTCCTGCTGGAAAAATGCTAAGAAAATCCTCACTTTTAATCAGTTGTTTAGAGAGCTGCTGTGTGTGTGTGTGTGTGTGTGTGTGTGTGTGTGTGTGTGTGTAATATTAAATGTATGTGAACATATATACATAATATATGGTTTTGGTTTTACTTTAATATAAATTCTCTAGATAATTGCTTTATTCTCCACTTGACATCAGTGGATCCACACAAGTTAAGATTCCTTATCCTTTTAGGCTTATAGGCTGCCTGGAGATTCCCAGTGTCTCCCACGCTTTGGCACCATGAAGAGCTGTCATGTGCCCTTCGGTTTTTCACCCACTTTGGAGGCTTGTCGAGGTCACTCATACATGTATATTTGCCAGGACGAAAGTTCCGTCAGGAGAGCCCAGCCACCAGAGCTGAAATTAAAAGTCTGTGGGTTTGTGAGAGATGGGTTTAGAAATCTACAAGGCTCTGTGGAGCTTCTTAGCTTTCCAGGGTAAAGCATTTTGGAAAACACCTCAAGCTTCCAAAAAATTTTATAGCTGCAGGGTTGAAATCTTGAAAAAGAAGGAAGGAGGTATGCTCACTACAGTGGAGAATTTTTCATTTCTTTGATATGATGGAGTCTCTTCACGAAACGAAACTTTAAGGGGCATGATATTGTGGGGACCGAAACTATACTGAGGTTTAAAAGAAGAAACTGGAATCTGATTAGTAAACACATTGGGCAGAAAAGAGCTGGATTCATATTGACTTAGTTATAGGTCATCGGCTGGCAGTGTAGTGGTAGGAAATATTTACTTTACACATATACTTTATGATCTTCGGGGAATTAGAGGAAATTCAACAAGAAAATGGCTAGAAACATTTAAAACCCTTATTTAAAAGACTTAAGCAAATTAGAGTCTTATCAGATTAAAAACCACTACAAGTGTGAGAGCATTGTCTTCAATGAAATGCTGTAGGGTCTGAGAAGAAGATTCTCCGCCAAATCTCAGGGATAAAATGCGTCATTTAAGCACCAGATAATGAGCAGAATGTAAATTAATTTAACCTTCTTTACCAACAGGCTGCTGGTGTAATATGTATAATTTAGTGATAAGATTGCAGGACCTAATATAGTTGGATGTATGAGCCTCAGCTAATGCAGACCTGTCACATGGGGACGTGTCCCGCTCTGAGCAGGTGTGTGTATGCGTAGAATGGGGTGAACAGGAGTAAAAGGTTAAAACCAGAAATGCTGATTTAAAGCTTACTATGACGAAAGTTCCCTCTTCTAGCTATATCCTTCTTAAAGTGGGATGATACTGGTAAGGAAAGACTGGAAAACAATTCTCATTTGGTTCCTTGGACTGCTCTCAAGCTGTTTAAAATGGGGGAGGAGTTGCAGATAGGGTTTGGGGGGAGCAGGGCAAAGGAGAGAAACATAGGCTGCAAATATATTTGTAGTCTGCTTCATCCACTCTGTTCCAGACTGAATACGTTTCCCAATCTTGTGAACAAGGACAAGGAGGGAGTTTCCTGAAGATACCTCATACTGACGTTGCAAATCATTGACTGTAACGTCAAACAAATACACATTCAGGGATGATAACACTAACTCCACAATAAAACAATTGCCAATGCAGAAACCCAGGGGAGATTAGTTTGTGCTCTCTGGCTGACCTAAGCTGGGGGACAAAAGGACTTTCAAAAAATTACTTTGAATTTATTTGCATTTCTTTCTTTACTTTCTTTGGAAATTAAGTTTACTTGGAAATAGTGCTATAAAGAGTTGATGTCCCCAAAGGTGATTTCTTTTTGTTTTATATAAATGCATAAGGCTTTGCTTTTCTTAGTTGAGAGATCTTCTAGGCTTTTTCCCCTTAGCCCACACCCTACCGCTTCTGCCTGCTTGGACTTTAATGATTCAAGACAGCCTTGAGCTGGCCAGGAAAGGAAAATGACTGTTAAAAATTATCCTTGAAATTGGTTATTTGGCAACGTTCTTAATTGTATGAAAATTCATTAAAGCATATTTTATATATAATTAGCTCAAGGTTGTTGATTCTACAGGCTTTATGGATTTGAATCTGATTGATAATAAAGTAAACAAGAGCATCGAATTTAAAGCATGGCTCTCTCGGGTTAGGACAAGCTTAATACAGTGTACAAGGCATTTGAAAGATCTAGGATATGTGTCTTAATCAACGTTAAATAGAATGGATAAGCTTTCAGCATTTTGAAAACGCTGGGTTAGGGTTTCTATTCCATTGTGTGTTTTCTGTCTGGGGACTAATAAGCATCACAGAGAACGTGATCTGAGGCGACTTTTTATTCTTGCATAAATCCAGAGTGAACCACCAAACAGTTGTTCGTTTAAAGTCAAGGTAATTTGCTTTTGACGGGTCCATTTGCTTCTCGGTTTCTAATTTATTAGCCTGCCTTTTCAGGGCTCTGTCTTCTTCGCAATTAAAGTAAAGCTTTTTCAGATTAGTGCAGCATTCACTTGACAGGCTGTTTGGAGAATTTAAGATCGGAGAGGTGATTTGTTGGTGTTTTTCAAGTTTTTTAGTTTTAAGTAGCACGTCTCCTTTTTATAAGGGGTTGCGGGGGGGGGCGGCTTTTGATTGGAAATGGGTGTAGTGAGACAAAAGGAAGGGGGGCTGCCTTGCTGATCCTTGCACCTTTCAGGCCTTGACCTTTCCGCTCCCTTCTCCCAAGCCTTCGACTCCCTCTAGCCTCATCTCTCAGTCCTCTCGTCCGAACTAAAAGCCGGATTGCCTGTGGCCCGGCAGGAGCAGAATTCCCAGGAGCGTTGCTGTGTAGACCTGGTGGGCACTGCGAGGAGTTAGCCCGGCCCCACACTGTTGATAGGTGCAGACAGGACAGTCCCTCCGCCGCGGCTCGGGCCGTCCTGATTGGTGCAGAGCCACGTCACTCCCGCCCGGCCAAGGGGCTGGGAGGAGGCAGAGGCGGGGAGGGCCGGGGAGGGCCGCGGCAGAGTGACGTCTGGGCACCAGGAAGCCCGCCTCTGGTTTTAAGATGTTAGGCCAACAGGGAAGCGCGGAGCCGCAGAGCTGGTCGGTCGCTCGCCCGAGTGCCTGGAGCTGAGCTGCGGCGAGGCCCCGCTCCGGCCCGACAGCCCGAGGGGCGTGCGTGTGCGCGCTGCCCGGGGTGCGCTCCGACGCCCGCGCCGCTGCTCCGCCACCGCCGCCGCCGCCGCCGAGGATCTAATATCAGCTACCTGTCCCTGTCACTCTTGACACTTCGCTGTCAGGGCTGCTGCGCGGGGGGCGGGCAGAGCGCAGTCGGCGTTAGCTTTCCTCATTGGAGGGGTTCTTGGGGAGGGAGGGAGGAAAGAAGGGGTCTTTGCCCACTCTTGTTTCGCTTCGGAGCTTGGACGCCTGCTCCCTAAAGACACTGCGAGCGGTGCCCTCCTGCCCACATCCCCATGTCTCCGTCTGCCCGCTGACTTTCGGCCTCCGGACTCTTTCGCTTGAGACTTTCCGAGGAGACGGGGGGCGGCTTGGTTCGAGGACTCGGCCGGGGTTGCGTCCCCTGGCTGCCCGCGGCGGCCACAGCGGAGAAACTCCGCGCCTGGAGCGCGACCCGGAACGGGCAGCGGCGGCCACGGGGGCTCGGCCGGGCAGTAGCCCGGGACTGGTGGAGCGGCGCGCGCCCGCGTCCATGAACTGCATGAAAGGCCCGCTGCACTTAGAGCACCGAGCAGCGGGGACCAAGCTGTCGGCCGTCTCCTCGTCGTCCTCCTGTCACCATCCCCAGCCGTTAGCCATGGCTTCGGTCCTGGCTCCGGGTCAGCCCCGCTCCCTGGACTCCTCCAAGCACAGGCTGGAGGTGCACACCATCTCCGACACCTCCAGCCCGGAGGCCGCAGGTAAGGCGCCGCGCCGCCCGGCGGACGCTCCCGTTCAGCAGCCTCGAGCCACCGGTCCGTCTTTCCCCCAAGGAAGTCAGCCCCTCCTGGGGGAGGCGTGGTGGGAGTGGTCGTTCTGCCTGCTCTTCCGGGAGCCGGAATGCTGCGGACCTCCCGTCCCTTTAGTTCTACCTCGACAGGCCGGGCTCATGCGGCGCGAACGGGGCGAGCCATTCCGCCGACATCTCTATTTCTACCCTGGCCTCCCTTCTGTTTCCTGGGTCACAAAAATCCCAGCATCTCCATTCGGGGACGTTCAGAGGCCGCCCCACCTCTGTCCTGTTCTCCTCTCGGCTTCCAGCTCCGGAGGAGCTGCGCTCATTCGTTAGAAAAGCGTGTCTGAAACTACCTAGACATGCTCTGCGCCAAGAGGCATTTGTTTTAAAGGGCGGGCGAACTTAGGTGTCCAACCAGATCCCCACATCTGCTTTTCCTGCCCTCCTGAAATTGCATCGAAATCTGAGCTTTCTCTTGGGAGGGGGGTCCGTAAAACACGCGCGCCTGCGTGTCCCGGGAGGTTTGGTGTGTCTGCGCAGAGGTGTATAAATATACTTGAAAGCACCGGCTATAAAAGTGAATGTGCCGCCGCGGTGAGATAAACATGTAAATAAAACGTGCGGCGCTGGGGGAGGGAGGAGACGGGGCGCGCACACCCACACCGCCGCCTGCGCCCCCCGCGGGCGCAGCGCCCCCGGCCCGGGCCGCCCAGCCCTGCCTTCGCCTCCCGGCCCGCGCCGGTCGGAACTCGCGGGCTGCAGGTGGGCAGGCTCGCAGGAACCTTTGTGTGGTTCGTTTTCAGAAAAAGACAAGAGCCAGCAGGGGAAGAATGAGGACGTGGGCGCCGAGGACCCGTCCAAGAAGAAGCGGCAACGGCGGCAGCGGACGCATTTTACCAGCCAGCAGCTGCAGGAGCTGGAGGCCACTTTCCAGAGGAACCGCTACCCGGACATGTCCACGCGCGAAGAAATCGCCGTGTGGACCAACCTTACGGAAGCTCGAGTCCGGGTAGGAGCCAGCGCGGAGCCTGGGAGGGGTTCGGGGAGGACGCTGTGGAGGTGCAGGCCATGGAGACCAGGAGGGAGTGTGGAAGGCAGCGCCGCCCGGGAGGGCGCCGGGAGGGAGCAGCTTTGCAAAGACGCAAGGCCTCTCCGCAGCCGGGGTTGCGAGATTACAGCTCCCCCTTCCGAGGCCCGCGGGCTCCCGGGCTAGCGCCGGCGCCTGGAGCAGCACCGGCTGGCTGCCCCGACAGCCCGCACCCCCCGAAGCTGGGCCGCGTGGGCATTTGCCTGCACTAGGCATTGTGTTCATAGCGTGCAGTCCCCAGACAAGAGCTAATAAAATCCCTCCCAGGCCAGGAGCGGCTAACAGGCTCCAACCTGTGCGCCTTTAACAAGGAAAACCCGCCGGAGACATGCAAGGGTTGGCCCTTCCTGGGAAACTTTCGCGCCAGGCCTAGCCCTGCTTTTCCTCTCCTGGGCTCGAGCTCCATGCACGGTTGTTGCGATTTTTTCGGCCATTCAGGTCTCTCCCACACACTATTCCCTGGTTTTGTGATCTCCGGAAGCCTAGTTTTAATACACAACTATTATTCTGCCAGTCCTCTTAGAAGAAAAAAGAAGAAAGACTTTTCGGTTTGGTTTATTTATCTTCTCTCAGGAGTTGAACTCTTTGGAGATTGATACTTATACCCCTCCTAACTATCATCATAGTTTTATAAAAAGGGCTTACCTTCACTTTGTAGCAAATCTGCACTTTATGGATTGGCAAAAATGAGCTTAAATAAATTACCCAATAGCAACGTCTTGGTTTATGCTGGTCGGTGGGAAATTCCAAATTTGTTAGGAGTCTGGAAGCAGAAAACAGAATCAAGCAGCACCCGAAGGCTTTGCTCTTAAAAAATAAAAGTGCTCTGGATAGAAAAATAAAGCCCCCAGCTCGAGCAGAGAAAGCAAAAAGAAGAAAAAGAGATAATGATGATAAAAATAATAAAGATCAAATTGTGCTCCCGAGGCAGAGGGAACAAAGACTCCGGATGGCATCTGTGCAGGGTGTGAGGCTATGCTGGTGGGTAAAAGAGCCTGGACCAAGTTGGAAATGGTTTTAGTTTAACTGCCCAGAGCCAGCGCTCAGGCCGTGGCCTCGTGGCTGTGCGCAAGGTCAGTCTTCCCTTAGCCCTCCTGCGCATCAGGGGAACGGGCCTCGCACGTACTCTTCTCTGCTGGGCAAAGTTTAGGTGGCCTAGGGTGGAAATAACAAGCAATTAAAATAAAAACACAATCTGTGGGTTTTCTGGAATCCTGTGAAAAAGCCCTCCCTCCCCACGGTCCTTCTGCGGCTCCTCCCTGGTCCCCTGCAGCCGCGGCGCTGGGCTCTCCTTCCGTCTTCCCTCCGGGAAGGCTGCTGGTCCAGCCAAGTGGGAGTGAGGCGTGCTTTTTATAGTAGTCGGGCGCAAAAAAGCGGAAGGGGGATAAAAAAGAAACCGAGAATGAAAGGAAAAAGGAAAAAAGCGGATTAGGCGGCTGGGCCCGGCGGAGATGTGTAATGTGAAACATCACCAGTGTCAGCTCCGAGACCTCAGGCCAGGCCTCGCTCCAATACACAAAAGCCGCCGTCTGGAGCGAGGCGCAGGCCTGATGTGGATTGGGAGCGGGGTTGCGGCGGGGCCACTGGATGTGGGTGGGGGCAGGCCAGCTGGAGCGGCCGCCCGCAACGCCAAACGACCCGACTGGGCCCTGCCGGAGCTGGGCCAGGGCGCTGGCCTGGCCTATGGTGGGCGGAGGGTGAGAGGGGCAGAAGGGAGGGCGAATCTGCAGACCTACCCGTTTGGGGTTCCCGGAGTTTTATACGCCAAGCTCATTGAGTTAACGAGCTGACGGGGAGGTGGTCTTCTGCTTTTTATTTGGCTGTTTTGCTAGGCGAGGAAGGGTGTCACAGCCCGGCCCTTGTGGAGGGAGTACGCTCCAAGGAGTGGGGGACGACGGGGAGGTCCGGGAGGGAAGGGAGGAGCTGTCCTCTGGTGCCCTCCCAGCCCCTTGTCCTCATCACTGGGTCTGTGGCTTTGGAATGGAAGCAAGTTTGCAAGGTGGCCGGGAAGGGCTGGGCGGAAAGCCTGCTGCCTGGCGTTTATTTTGCAGTAAGTGTTTTTGGACCCAGAGAAAAGCCTGAGTTAGTGATCAAGCTGCCCGCAGGCCCCTGGGCGTTCGGCTGGGGTTTGCGGCGCAGCTCAGAGCCCCAGCTGGCGGGCCAGAGCCGACCGGCCTCCCGGGCTTGGCGGAGGCTCCGGGCTCGGGGCTGGGAACCGAGTGCTGGCCCTGGCAGCCGTGCAGCCGGGAGGCGGGGAGTGCGGAGGAGCGGGGCGGCCCGCGCGTGGGAGTGCACGCGCTTGGGCGCGTCGCGGCGGGTGCTGGCCTCTGCTGCTTTCCCGGATCGAGGTTTTATTAATTCGCGCTGTGGAATCTGTTTGCTCCCTTGCCCCAACCGTCCCCAGGTTTGGTTCAAGAATCGCCGGGCCAAATGGAGAAAGCGGGAGCGCAACCAGCAGGCCGAGCTGTGCAAGAATGGCTTCGGGCCGCAGTTCAACGGGCTCATGCAGCCCTACGACGACATGTACCCAGGCTATTCCTACAACAACTGGGCCGCCAAGGGCCTCACGTCGGCCTCCCTGTCCACCAAGAGCTTCCCCTTCTTCAACTCTATGAACGTCAACCCCCTGTCATCGCAGAGCATGTTCTCCCCGCCCAACTCCATCTCGTCCATGAGCATGTCGTCCAGCATGGTGCCCTCCGCGGTGACGGGCGTCCCGGGCTCCAGCCTCAACAGCCTGAATAACTTGAACAACCTGAGCAGCCCGTCGCTGAATTCCGCGGTGCCAACGCCCGCCTGTCCTTACGCGCCGCCGACTCCTCCGTATGTTTATAGGGACACGTGTAACTCGAGCCTGGCCAGCCTGAGACTGAAAGCAAAGCAGCACTCCAGCTTCGGCTACGCCAGCGTGCAGAACCCGGCGTCCAACCTGAGTGCTTGCCAGTACGCCGTGGACCGGCCCGTGTGAGCCGCGCCCAGCCGGGATCCTAGGACCGTGCCGGAGGGGGCGACTCCGCCCTTGAAAGACTGGGAATTATGCTAGAAGGTCGTGGGCACTAAAGAAAGGGAGAGAAAGAGAAGCTATAGAGAGAAAAGGAAACCACTGAATCAACGAGAGATCTCCTTTGATTGCAAAGAGATGTCCTCGGTGTCTGACATCTTTCACTCAAGTATTTCCAACCGTTCAAGGACATACACAAGCAAACGTTTGACTGGATATGACATTTTAACATTACTATAAGCTTGTTATTTTTTAAGTTTAGCATTGTTAACATTAAAATGACAAAGGATGTATATATATCGAAATGTCAAATTAATTTTATAAAAGCAGTTGTTAGTAATATCACAACAGTGTTTTTAAAGGTTAGGCTTTAAAATAAAGCATGTTATACAGAAGCGATTAGGATTTTTCGCTTTCAAGCAAGGGAATGTATATACTAAATGCCACACTGTATGTTTCTAACATATTATTATTATAAAAAAATGTGTGAATATCCAGTTTTAGAATAGTTTCTCTGGTGGATGCAATGATGTTTCTGAAACTGCTATGTACAACCTACCCTGTGTATAACATTTCGTACAATATTATTGTTTTACTTTTCAGCAAATATGAAAAAAACGTGTTTTATTTCATGGGAGTAAAATATACTGCATACAAATTGGTCTGGATTCTTTCTGCCCTTCTCTGTCTCCTGGCCAGGGCATCCCTGTCACTGCCTCCTAAACAAACCGGTTCCCTCTGCCTGCCTACTTAAACATACAAGGCAGCAGTACCTATTTAAATTTGGTAGAAATAAATTATAGCCATTCATCAGAACCTAAAAAGAAGAAGAAGGCACTTCCAGGGGGAAAAGGCTGCAAAGTCTGGTCTTGTCTCTCAGATTTTTTGTTTGGCTTAAACTCAAAGGATTCCATTACTGCTAGCAAATAATGTAAGAGAGAAAGAAGAAAGGAGAAAGAAATTTAGAAAGTATGCCAGCCTGGAATGACTCTCAAGTTAACTCCTTTAGGGGAAACCTGCACCTCCAGTAAATTGCTCTGAAGAAATATTTGTGCATGTGTACATGTACAGTTTATATACATTGCTCTCAGGAGGAATGCATCTATAATAAATTTACAAGGAAACACCTCCAGTTCAAAATATTTAGGCCTCCACGTTTATCTTTCAGGCTTAAGTAGAGAGATCCTTCATGTTATATTGCATTACTATTTCCAAATCCTTTGGAGACATTAAAAGAAACAAAGACCATTTCTAATAACTACAGCCCTTCAGTTTCTCAAAGAGCCCAGGGGTTGAGAGGTTAGAGTGGAGTTTCCTGAGTCTTGTCGAGCAATATGTAGTTGAGGCAAAGGTCATGCTCCCTGTGTTTTGTTTTAAATAATATTGACCCATTAATTCTAAACCTGCTTGTTCCTGAAATTATACAGGATTATAGTTTGCAAACTGCGGGACAATGAAGCAAATCAAGATGAATTACATCCCCAGCCCTCCCTCCCATCCTTTGACATCTAAACGGGGATTGAGGTCGGTGCGAGTGTTTAAAAGAACTTTAAGCACCGCTCCTTCTTGATCGGTGGTTTTCGGCTCTTTTTTTTAAAAACTTGAAATTTGATTTCATAACAAAAAGAAGCAAATACAGCTTAGTCCCAAAGAATTCATCACCATGGCCCTAGGAGGATTGGTGGGGGGAAGGGGGAAGTGCTAAGGTCTTTTGTTATTCTTGTCACCCATCCCCCTCTGCGCTCTTACACACACACACACACACACACACACACACTCACACTCACACTCTCACAAACACAGCAGGCGAGGACAAACACCACGCCAGGGAATTTAGAGCGAAAAGTAGCCGCCGGTTTTCTGGAGCCGAGAAAACCTGTGTTTTTGCGCCTCGATTGCTTTTATCTGCCTGAAACTTTACCTAAAAGCTTCTGGAGCTCAAACACTGAGGCTTTGTTCTGCAGGGAACTGCTGCTGACACTTAAAGAGATTGCAGATAATGTCCCCGATTTAAGATCTGTGCTCGACGCACATTAACTTTCTTTCTTTCTTTCTTTTTAAAGCTCTGCCTCCAACCTGCGGCGGGATCACGCGGCAGTGGGTGGGGGGGTTAGATAAAAGCCCTTTGGACGAGGGTCACCTCGGTCCTTGTTGTTCACTTGAGAGCAGTGGAGAGGAAAACGGTCCCCACGGGCGGACTTTGGCTTCTGGAGCCGCGGGGCCTACCGGTCCGGGCCTCCCCGCGCCTCCGCCGGGTCGGGGGAGGGAAGGGGCGAGAGGGAGGGAGCAAAGGAGCCAGGAGAGGGGATGTGGGGCTGGGGGCTGGAATCGCCCAGGAGACCTGCTGGGAGAGGTTGCGTCTCCTGCAGGTCGGTGAGTGCCTCGGGAGGGCTGGGTGAAGGAGGTGGCTCTCGGCCTAGTTCGGTTGCTGCAGCTACGTAGTGTAACTACGCGGGGAAATCAATCAACCTGCAGGAAACAAAAAATGGAAGTCGAGGTTTAGGAAGAATTGTCACTTCCCCGACTTGAGCGGTGCACACTGGGGGCGGAGACTTGAGACCGAATAGAGAGGCCTTTCCTATCACCTACGCTCTTCTCCCTGAACTTCCAGAAGGAAGAGTTGCACCCTCGCCCCCCTTCTTCCCCCACTCCCATCCCTGATAGTCCTCCAGGCCACCGGCCCCTTTCTGCGCCTCCCTGTCCCTTGGAGCAAGAAGCTGGTGGAGTCGATCCCCTCGCCCCTGTCGCTCCCACGCCGGTGTCCCCTGCAGCCGACCTACAGCCACCACCTCGGTTCCACTCAATCGATTTTCGCTGCATGTCAACACTTATTACCGGTGAGTGTGAGGGTATTTTTCCTCCTTCTCCAGGTCTCTTAATGATTTCTGAGCTAGTTGTGTATTAAAGTGCTTAAAGGAGCCTTTAAGGTAATCTATAGCATGAACACCGACCTCCCCCGCTTGGGTTCAAAGATGGCGAGCTGGAGGCCGGGCAGCGGGGAGCCCGGGCCTCGGGGCCCCAGCCCACCGCCGCCCACCTCCTAGAGCCACCGGGCTTGGCCTGGCCCCGGCAGGACCCCCGCGGTTCCTTAGTCTGGGCGCTTTCTCTCCCCCAGCCCCCGCCCGCCCACCTGTTACTCACTTGCACTGTGTCTTCTCTTAGTGTCCTTAGTCTATCTTGGGGTTTTTATTTTATTTTTTAAAA